TTCTCCCCCCTCAGCCCCGGCAGACCCCCGCCCCGCCCCAGCCTCCTCCCCGCCAGCCCGGCCTGCCGCCCCCGCGCGGGGCCCCGCCCCCTCCCCCTGGAGCGCTCCGGGCGGTGGCAGGATGCCAAGGGTAAGTGGAAGTTGCTATAGCAACCCCCGGGATAGAATGGTTCCGAGGGCGCCGCGTCCCGAGCCCGTTGGGCTGCAGGCAGCCCGCCCGGCCGCCAACCGAACTCCTCCGCTGCCGGCCCGGCCTCCTCGGCCGTGCCCGACGGTCCCTGCTCTGAGGTGCGGGCCCCAAATCCAGGCAGGCAGGCAGGCAGGCAGGCGGCCCTCCCACCTCCCTCCCTCCTTCTCTCTCTCCCTCTCTCTCTCTGGCTCCTTCTTCCCTCCCTCCCTGGCTCCCTCCCTCCACCGCCGTCACCACTACAGCCACCGCCGCCGCCCCCTCCGTCTCTCCTCGCCGGAAATGCCCAGGGCAGCCGCCGCAGCTGCTCCGGGGTCCCGCGCTCCTTCCACCCCGCTCTCCGTCGCCCACTTTCCCAGTTTCCCGCGGTCGCCATCGGGGCCCCGGAGGCACCTGGGCTCCCCTTTGTCCGCCTCCGCCTGAGCCCGCTGCGCCGGGGGCAACGGCCGCTCCCTGCCACGGACGGGCTGGCTTGCGGGGACCCCCCTCTGGCGCTCCCAGCTCTACTCGGCGCCCGCGTGCTTTGCACCTCGCCCCCGCCCCTTCGGGGATATCTTTGGAGGGGGGGCGGCCTCTGAGAAGGCGGGAAGGGCGCCGAAGAGCCGCGCGGGGGGGGGGTGCGCCAGAGGCCCGCCCCCTCTCCCCTCCGGCCCTTCAACGCTCCCGCTGCATGTGTCTTGCAGAGCTGCCCGGACTCGCGCAAAAATGCATCGCACCACCCGCATCAAAATCACCGAGCTGAACCCCCACCTCATGTGCGTGATCTGCGGAGGGTACTTCATCGACGCCACCACCATCATCGAGTGCCTCCACTCCTGTGAGTACCGCCCGCGGGAGGGGGGGCTGCTCTTGGCTTCGGCGCGGGGCTCAGAAGCTCCGTCGAAAGGCCGCGGGATGCGTCTCAGGGGCGCTCCTTCGAGCATTTGGGCCACTGCTGATGTGGGGCGGTTGCCGCGGGCCGAGCCCAAAGGACCTTGCCTGTACTATTGTGGTTGCGGCTGTTTTCTGGGGACCCCTGCTGATATTTTTGTCTCTGTTCTTCTAGTCTGTAAGACATGTATCGTGCACTACCTGGAGACCAGCAAGTATTGTCCTATCTGTGACGTTCAAGTGCACAAAACCAGGCCGCTTTTGAACATCAGGTAGGCCGGAGACTTTGTCCAGAGGGCTTCTCGGTGCGTGCGGGCGCCTGTGTGTAGAGGCCTGGGGGAGGGGGGAGGGATCTGCCCCCCCCGCGGGTTTTTCTTCCAGGAACTCTGATCTGCTAATTTACAGAGTGAGCCAGTGCCTACTGGGGGTCTTTGCTCATTCGCTGAAGTTTGCTTTTGTTTTTCTTTTCTGCTTCACTTTCATACGGTTAACAATTCCAAGTAGCCTTTGTGGCACTTTTAGAGTTGGCCACACAGGACTGCAACTGAAGAAGGTGTGGAAACCGGGTCTTGAGTAGCCGACAGACTGTCAGTTGTTACACCTCACTGTATCGGGCATTGAATTGTTATACTTGAATTGTTAGAGTTTGCTGTATTGTGTGCTGTGCATAGGGACTGTTTGCACTGTACATTGTTAACAATCTGGTTTTACAGTTAGGGAGAATTGCTTCCCCCACCCACCCACACCTTCTTTCATTGTGGCCTCGGCTACGCAGTGCCTTTTGTGCTTTTCTGCAGAGGTCTCTCCTCAGTTTTGCTCCTTTTGCGTTTAAAGGCAGGCAAAATTTATCCCACCCGTAGCTCTCCTGAGTTTCCCTGCTGCCATTAAAATGAATCAACAGCCGCCTCCGATGAAGTGATCTCTGACTCTCAGGAGAGCTTCTGTCGGGAACATGTGTTAAGTCTTTAAGGTGCCGCTGGACTTCGGTTTCATTCATTGGCCATCAGCAAATTATCCATTTTATTCCGCCATTTGTTACAAGGCGCTGTTATTTCAGATTTAAATTGACCACAGAGAAAACCACAGTCGTTTATGGACACACCATGTTAAGGAAAACAGGCAAATTGTTAAAATCCGGTGGGCAGCCCTGTTGGTCTGAAGCAGTAGAACAAAGTTTGAGTCCAGTCAGGCACCTGTAAAACCAACAAAGTTTAATTCAAGGTGTGAGCTTTCGTGTGCAGGCACACTTCGTGGGACACAATGAAGTGGAAAAAATATATACATTCTCTTCAGATCTCCTCCTCCATTGAGTGCTTTGTATTCTTTCATCCCTCTTTCCCGGTGACCTTTCATTCGTTATATGTATTAAGAAATACTGGGACTGATAGGATTACTGGTCGATAGAAAAGAATTGTTGCAGCAAAAAACTCTGTGTCACGACTGCACTTACTGGTGGGGAGTTCAAGTTTTGGCGGCTGGTTTTAGCCCTTGTGGAAGTGGGTTTCTGGCAAGTTTGAGGGGCAGCTTTGGGGCTGACTCCTGACCCCTTTCTGAATCCGGGTGTCTTGGCATTTTATGTTTCAGGTCAGATAAAACTCTCCAAGACATTGTGTACAAGTTAGTACCAGGCCTTTTCAAAAGTAAGTAAGCCGTTCAATGCTACCGAGAATCACAAGTTGTGAATGTACATGTAACCTGGAATGATCTAAGTGGCTATTATGTATTCTCACTCAGATGAAATGAAAAGAAGAAGAGACTTTTACGCCGCGCATCCATCTGCTGATGGTAAAACAGTTTTCCCTTTATTCTTTTTGTAGAGATAATATTGTCCCGTTGTCCAAAAGCGAAGATTGCTAAAGAATCCCACCCCCACACCCAATCAAAACCGGTATAACAATTCAGTGCCAACATAGAGCACAATTCATTTAAACCTTTGATACAAACTCAGGGTATTTGTCGAGGTCAACTCGGCAGACAGAGCCCTCCCCCCAAGTTCCTGAGGTTTGTTCCTCCTTCTTCCTAGTTTGAATTTCCCAATGTAAATGACTTCCGGCGTTTCTCTGCAGCTACCAACGGCTCCAATGAAGACCGGGGAGAGGTTGCGGATGAAGACAAACGAATCATAACAGATGACGAGATAATAAGTTTATCCATTGAGTTCTTCGACCAGAATAGGCAAGTTTCAGAGGCAGTTGTTTTGTTTTCCCTTTGGATCTGCCGCTTCGGAGCTAGCTTTTAACAGAGTTATAATTCTACCACTTCTTTTCCCAGGGTGGAGCGGAAAGGAACTAAAGAGAAAGAGAAATCCAAAGAGGAGGTAAACAAATTTTATTTTTCTTCATACTAAGATCTCTACCTCAGAAAATAGGATGCTGTTTAGGTGGGCTAGCTACATTAATATATATATATTTAATCCTGTGAAGAATAACAATGCCCCAGACAGCTGCTGTGCAGCTATTTATTGTACCTTCTGGGCAACTAATATTAAAAGAGTTTTGAGGAAAGATCCAGGCACTTTGGGCATTAGGGGCTGCTTCTTTCTATTTTTCCTTAATTAAAAAATTGTAAAGAAGGAATTTTAACATATCTCATATGATTACACACTGGTTAATAACTAATATTTTGCATCTTAACCTTCTGCGCTTCCGTTTGGCTCTTTTGGTTCAGCTGTTTGCATAAAGATAAAAAGTTTTCCATTGTCTTTGTGCTGTATTAATTAGACGGAGGCATCCTTGCCAAGTTTTCATCCGTATGGATTATTTCCCCCTCCCCATTCAATGTTTTCCTAGGTGAATGACAAAAGGTATCTCCGCTGTCCAGCCGCAATGACTGTGATGCATCTCAGAAAGTTTCTCCGGAGTAAGATGGACATACCCAATACTTTCCAGGTACTTTGCCTTATAAAGGGGGGCGGGGACAACAACAAGAAGAACAATGTTCTAATGTGATTTCCATATGACTGTAGATTGCCAAATAAAATAGTTTTTTTCTTTAAAAAAATCAAATGCTAGTAAGTATAGGATCTTGTCTATTTAAGGGATATGCTTCAGTTTGTAAGGTATGGTATATTTTAGCCGTAGGCTTGTCTGTTTTAGCTATATGTGTCAGATAGCATCAAATTGCTTAGCTCTGTCTTGTCAGATCTTTTGCCCTACTGTTGAAGATCATAGGCAGTGTGGCTTTAGACATCTATGGGGTGAAATGTTTGAAGCCTTTCTCATGCTAAGGATTGTGCTAATGGCCTTAAGCAAGAGCAATCCTGAAATAATCGTAGTAGTAGTAGTAGTAGTAATAATAACAATTGGTACCTGTATTGGCTTATGAAGAGCTTTGGCTCTGGGAACATATCTGTTCCCACCATCTCTTCCTATTTCTAAGGTGAATGTTTTGGGCCGGCTGTAGGGAGAAGCAGTCGGGTTTAAAGCACAAACCTTACCCGGGGAGGGGGGAAGGGGGTGTGGACCGAAACTTGCCGGTGCGCCTCTTCTTGGGGGCGTTTCCAAAGGCAGATTCCATTCCTTTCTCTCCTAGATCGACGTGATGTATGAAGAGGAGCCGCTGAAGGACTACTACACGCTAATGGACATCGCCTATATTTACACATGGAGAAGGGGAAATAGGCCGCCCGGGAGGGGGGAGG